TAAAAATAAATTTATTGGGGCTGGGGATTTAGCTCAGCGGCAAAGTGCCTGCCTGGCAAGCGCAAGGTCGTGAAGTGAGACCCCATTTCAAAAAAAAGACAAAAAAAAAAAAAAAAAAATTTATTTTTAAATGACTTTTAGATAATAATGGTATTTCTCCAAAGGAAATAGAAAAGTGCTGGTATGCACACAAAAACATGCTCAACATTAGTCTTTAGGGCAATGCAAACCAGACCAAAATGGACTCTTAGTTCCCATCCACTAGGAGGGCACAAGAATCAAAAGACATGGGAACTGTGGTGGTTTGGGTTTTGCAAAGGGAATAATATAATACAGGACACTTAATTATACGATTATTTCTAATAATCACCCAAAGAGTCATATACAAAGAGAGTGCAGGAAATCTATCCACACACTAAAGACCAAAGAATCCAGCTGAGGGCCTGGATCCCACAGTGATGTTCTGCATGAGTTCAGATGAAGACATACATCCCATAACAATGCCCCCCACAAGTCCAGCTGGAGGCCAAGAGCCCACGACAATGTCTCATGCAGGCCTGTTTCATGAATCTGTGCTGCAATGGCCCGAAGGTCAGAAGTGGAAGCTAGAAAGTCTGTGCCAGTGGGATGAAAGATCCATGCCAGCAGGCTGAGGGATCTGCACTGGATCCAGGAAACAATGCTCAAAGTAAGAACCAAAGCTCCACTGAAAGGTACTTCAGCCATCTTTAGCAACAGTGAGGTCCCAAGCTCCTCTGACAATGAGAACAGCCAAGCTTCTATCAGGAAAGCCAGCACAATAATCTTCTCCAGGAGAGAGAACAGCGCACCACCTTCCCTTCTGGAGCCAGGAAGTGATGCTCCAAGTGAGGACCAGGGCTCCCCCAAAGTGAACCATAGCCATTCTCAGTGACAATAAGGTCCCAAGCTCTTTTGAAGATGAGAAGAGCCAAGTTCATCAGGAAAGCCAGCATGACAAGCTCCTCCAGGAAGACCAACAGCTCCCAACAGCCTCACTTCTTCTCCAGTTCTGCCTCTTATGCTGCTGGCAACAATCCTCAGGCGGGCCTCCCACACCCAGAACCATGCTGGTTCAGTTCAGCTGAGTGTTACAAGTTGACCACCAGTTGTCAATTCACCACAACGATCCAATCTGAGTGAGGTGGTACATGCCTGTAATCCCAGCCCTGTTGGAGGCTGAAGCAAGAGGATTGTAAGCTCAAAATCAGTCTGGGTAACTTAGGAACTTATCAAGACGCTGTCTCAAAAAAAGAAAAATTTAAAAAAAGTGTGTGTGTGTGTGTGTGTGTGTGTGTGTGTCTAAGGATGTAGCTTAGTATGAAGGCTCTGAGTTCAAGCTCCCATGGAAAACAAGCACACACAGAGACCTGGTGACTAGAGTTTACAGGACCTGGAGGTCGGGACTTAGCACCACCTGTGAAGCAGTGTGGCTGCTTCAGAAGATAGCCTCAGGCCTCCAAGCAGCAGAACCCAGGGTTATCCCATGACCCTGAGGCAGACATCCTTGGTCGAGAGAATAGGAGCCTCCTTTGCCATGCTGACAGGCACGGGGATAGGTGTGTGGCTCAGGGCCACCAAGGACCTGCGGGCAGCACGCAGAAAGCTTTGTCCACAGCTGCCGTGTGCACACGAGCCGACGTGTGGGAATAGCAGCCGTCTACACTGCCTGGTGACCGGTCCCCAAGTGACGGTCCCCACGGTGGAATGGGGGCAGGGCGGACACGTACCGTGCCGTGGGGGTCTCAAACACATGCCCAAGGAAAGAGCCGGGCACAGAAGGCCATGAGTGGTGTGTTCTGTTTATTCCAGTGCCTAGAGCAGGAAAACCCACTGCGACAGAATCTGCGTTAACGGTTGCCTGGGGGGTGGGAGGAAGTGGGGCACAGTTGCCAGTGGTTTTCCTTGTGGGGTGATGAAACACCCCCATATTAGATAGTGACATTGGTCGCACATCTGTGTGGATTTTTAAAATCCATTGTCCACATTCTAAAGGGTGGCTCGAGTGGTGTGTGGATTCCAGCTCAGCAAAGCTGTGTTCAGAACGAGCTTTATGTGCTGGTGAGTTGTGTTTCCGCAGTGAACCTCACAAGGAAAGGGCTCTGTGGGGAGGGGAGGAGAACTTCCCAGCAAGGGTTTTCAAGGGCTGTATCAGCTGTCATCTTCTCTTTGAGTCCTGACTTGAAGGAAGGAAGGAAGGAAGGGAGAGAGGGAGGGAGGGAGGGAGGGTGGAAGCTCTGCCTCGCATGCCAGCGTCAGCTCCTTCGGGCCAGCTGTCCGGACGTCCCTGTTCTGAGTGGACTGGAGCCACTAGGGTCAGCAGAAGACTTGGAAGCCACTTTATCTGCCGAACAGCAGCAGATCAGAGGGTTCCTAGAGGCTGCTCTGAGGGGTGAGCAGGGATACGACAGCCGACAGTCCTGTCACCAAGGGAGGTACAGGCTGTGGCTGTGACCCTGCCCACATGTGCCAGGTGAGCTGCCTGGGATGGGGACCGGTGGCTGGAGAAGGAGAGCGATGGGGACAAGCAGGCAGAGGGTGGTGAGGTGGTCACCAAGAGGAAGGCAGCGATGAGACGGTGGAGGTGGCCTGAAGGCGCCCCGGAGCCCGCCCCCCAGGCTGACAGCCACTGTCACGGCGAACTCGCCGGTGGGGCTGTGGGCCAAGGACACTGTGGCGAGACGGGCCAAAGCCCTCAGAGAGGGGAGTGTTCTCGGTCCCTCCGCCCTCAGCCCCGCCCTGCTGGGCACCCTGCATTCTCGAATCTCCTCATGCACACAGCACCCCTGGGAGTCAACAGGAATAAACTGGCGTTTTCCTAGCATAGGGTTAAGAGGCACCCTTACATTTTTACCAACATATTTTATAAGCCCGTCTACAAACCTACTGCTCCAAACACCCACTCAATGAGCTCAGAGCCCGCAAGCAATTCTGTTGAAGTGGGGAAAATGTTTGTCATGGTCCTTCACTTTAAGGCACGCAGGTTTCCTACTTTAACTTCCCTGAAATTGTGATTTGTGTACCGTGGAAGGATCCACCACACACTCGTCGTTGTCCTAGTGAGATGGCGTCTGTTTCCATCAGCAATGTCTGAGATTTGGTGAAAGTGGCTACTTCCCCCAGTCACGAGCTGAGCCGCGCTGGTCCCCACCCCGTGCGCTCTGTCTGTGGATGTTGGGGGCTTGTTCCCATCCCACACCCCTGTCACCTGTCTGCACAGAGCCCATGACTCACCTCTTGTCTCTGCAGGCTTCGCCCGCGGACCACAGCCAGCTCTGCCTCCCTCCGTGCTCTAAGTAGGGAAGGACCGGTGGAGTCGCCTCCCTCCCTGGCCTTCTGCTGCAGGTGCTCAGTGGGTGGCTGTTCCCGGAGCTCCCCTGGGTCTCTCCCCAGCTCCAGGCCCTTCCTGGCATGGCTCCCAAGCATTGGTCTCTGGGAACACCAGGGAGGAAGCATCCCTCGCTCTGCTAGGGACAGTCATAATGACTTGTTTGCCTCCCTGACAGGAAGCCCTGATTCCACAACCCGAGAGGGCCACTCCGGCACAGCCACTCCGTCCTCCTCCACGGCCTCTCCATAGATAAGAACTCCAGCTCTCCGTGATCTCCCAGGGCACACTGAGTCTCACAGCTTTGGTTCCTGTCCTCCGAGATGGACAGTGTCACCTAGCAACACACGCACTCGGGCAGCATGGGCGACATCAAGAGTAACCGGGAGCTCTACAACCAGTACCTGGCCACGGCCCCCAAGCTGCTGGCCCACATCTCCAAGCTCCTCACCCTCTGCCGCCAGTCAGGCATCACTGTGCCCAAGGGCATCAGAAACATCTTCGAGTTTACATGGGCAGAACTCATTGCTGACCCCATGGTCCCCACCGGGTCCAGCATCCCGGGCCTAGAGGTCAGCTTCGGAGCGCCACTGGTGGTACAGGTGGAGTCCACCCCGGCGCTGACCCAAAGAAAGCTGCCCCAGCCCACAACACCAGTGCCTACAGGGACCACCATCACCAGGACAGCCCGGAACTCCGTAACACCCACCCGCCAGGCGCCTGCCGGGCAGGAGATGCTGCACAGGTTCCAGCGGCAGTCGGTGCACCTGCTGACGGAGCTGCTTGCCCTGAAGATGAGGGCCATGGTGGAGGCCGCATCAGGTAAGGTGCTCGCTACCCTCCACTTCCGGTCAGATGAGTACAGGGCAAGCATCCCCTACTGGGACTCGGAACTCTGCAGCGCCCCCAAACCGGTCCTTGCTGGTGCCAACATGACACTACAGCAGGTGTTGATGGGCTTTGGTCACAACCCAGTTGCGCTGAGAACCGTGAGAATTGGGTGCAGGTGTGTGGGAAACGCCAGCCAATCTCACACACAGACTCAGAGGCCATGTTATTTCCCTGTGCATCTGCAGATTTCCAACTCTAAAGTCCCAAACTCAAGGCGCATTTGGATAAGGGGTACTGACCCCGGGTGTAACCAGTACCTGCTGCCAAGGGTCACGGGTGGGCTCAGGAAGGGAACTTCCTCTGCCCCTGCCACTCCTCCCTGTCCTGCCCCCGCTGTCCTTGCTGTTGCCCCAGGCCCATGGCAGGGACAGAGACAGGCCCAAGGGACCAGGGTGGACATGTGGGGTCTGTAGAGCACAGATGGTTGCACCCCAGATGGGCTCCACGTGGGGTCTGCAATGCAGAGGGTTGGTGGCAGTAGTCAGACAGTGCCCAGGCCGCCAGAGCCAGGGGGAGTCTGGAACAGGGGGCCTCCAGCTGAGGGCATCCTGGGGTGAGGCTGGCACCTCATGTGGCATCAGCAATCATGCCCAGCGCCAGGCCTGTGGGAAGGAAGGGAGGCAGTGGGAGCAGCAGAGCCCTGGCACCCAGCTCTCAGCTGCAGACCCCCTGCAAGGCCCCACGCTCAAGTCAGGAGCTGAGCTTCTTTCTCTTCCCGAGCCGGTGGCAAAGGCCTGGATGTGCCCGGCACACAGGGAGGAAGTGCATTTCCTCTGACCACTCCTTCGCAGGTGCCAACCCCATGGACATCACCCGGCGCTTTGTGGAGGCCAGCCAGCTGCTGCACCTCAGTGCCAAGGAGGTGGCCTTTGACTGCCTGATGGGCACTGCAGGGAGGAGCGGCTACTTCATAGGGGAGACAGGGAAAGGTGGGTGCAGAGGCCCCCACGGGAGGCCTTGGGGATGGAGCATGCTGTCTGGAGGGCGGAGTGGTGAGTGGGGAGCAGCGGGGATTCCCTGACACCCCTGGTATGTGGCCGCCTAGGCCGGGCCCCGTGCAGAGCCTCCAGCCCCTCTCCCAGGCGTTCCTTCTGAGCTGTGCTCTCAGCCCCACAGCGAAAAGCCAGTTGTGAAAACCCCCCATCCACTGTCCCCCAAAAATACCACAGCGCTGTCCAAGTGCTGCAGGAGTGTGCTGATCCCAGCTCTCTGATCAGCTGGCCTTGCCTGCGGGGAGCGGTATCTGTCCCCGGGCCACACAGCAGGAGAGGGTGAGCGAGGGCCCACTAAGGCAGCAGGACACTGGAGCGGGGAGAAGGGCCGGGCCGCACAGCTTGCACACCGTACACGCGAGTGAGCAGGGCACAGGCCCTTAACAGAGTTTAGATATGCAGGGGGTGATGTGAGAAACGCAAGTGTGAAAGTGTGAAGCGGGCAGAGGAAGAGGGCTCCGGGCCAGGAGGCTGCAGCCGCAGTGCCTGTCACACCACCTTCCGGTGTCCACAAGGGCCCCTGTGCGTGAGCGCCAGGAACGAGTCTCACTCTTGGCAAATATGGAGTATGCAGCTGTAACAGCAGCGCTCTCCCTGCGCCAGGGCCCCGGCCTTCGTCATCTTGTGACTGGCAGTCTGCACAGGGCCCAGCGTGTCCCCTTGTCCCCACTGTGGCCCCAGCGACCACCGTGAGCTCTCCTCACCCACGGGTTTGTTTTGGATTCTGCACGCGTGAGATCACGCAGTGTTCCTCTTGGGTGCCTGGTTTACTTCATTTAGCACGGTGCTTCCCAGGCCCTTCCATGTCTTCATAAATGATAGGCTTTCCTTCTTTTTAAGGACTAAATAGTATTCCACTGCAGCTGCAGACCACATTTTCTTTATCCATCTGCCGACGGACACCGAGGTCGGTTCAAAATCTTGTGAACAGGGCTGCAGAGGGCTTGGGGTGTACCTCTCTTCTTCACACTGAGTTCCTCTCCTTTGGCTCTGTGCCCTGCAGTGGGTTGCTGCACCGAATGGAGTTCTGTCTCAGACTCTTGAGGGACCCTCCACACAGCTCCTACACATCCCCCAGACAGCACAGCAGGGCTCCTTTTCCGCACTCTCTGACCAGCCAGCCTTTGTCCTGTTTCTGCGAGAGCCGCTCTCCAGATGCGAGGTGGTGTCCCACTGTGTGATATCCCACCCGATCCCCACTTTCTGATGACCCATGGTGCTGAACATTTCCCTCATACACCTGTTGACCACTTGTATGTCTTCTTTGGACAAATATCCGTTCAGGTCCTCGGCCCATTTTAAAAATTTTTATTTATTTATTTTGTTTTTCTGAGACAGGGTCTGGCTGTGTAGTTCAGACTGTCCTTGAACTCACTATGCAGCCCTAGGTGCCCTTAAACTTGCTGAGATCCTCCTGCCTCAGCCTCCCAAGTGCTTGGATTTACACACATGTCACCCTGCCCAGCTCCCCATTCTTTAAAATCAGTTTTTCCTGGTACTGTTTTATATCTTAAGCCGGGTAGGTACAGGTACACAAGCTGTTTGTTTTGAATGCTTATGAGTACCCACTGGTAGGAGGTTTTATAGGGCAGCACTCAGCATTATATCTCATAGCCATTTGTCCTCGCCTACAAAATCAGCCCCCGTAGCCTCTCTCTCTGCCCACCATCAGTACATTTCCCAGGCTGTCCTCCATGGTCGGAGGCTAAGTGCCCAATAGTAAACACATCCAGTAAAAAGAAACTGAATGATGGGATTAGGGACTTAGCAAGACCTTGTCTCAAGAAAAAAATACAAAAAGAAAAGAAGGAGCTGAGATATTGCTCATTGCAATGATGCTAGGTTCAATCCTCACTACCAAAAAGAGACATAGAAAGAAAGGTAGATAGATAGATAGATAGATAGATAGATAGATAGATAGATAGAGAGGCTAAAACAAAATGTCCAGAAAACAAACCACCTTGCCGTATGTAACACAAGACCATGGTTTACTTTTGCAATTTCTTGCGTGTGTATCTGGAACTTTACGTTTTGCAGTCTCCTGGTCCCTCGGTTGGCTGTATGTGACAGACTGCAGCCGCCTCCAGCAGGCTTTGCACCTTGAGGTGCTCCTCTCACCGATGCCCTCCCCTGCCTGATGCTCCTTGCAGCTGGGCTGGCTCGGCGTGGCCTCCGAGCTCGAGCCCTGGTTATGGGATCATTTCCCAGGCGGGATCACGGGGGCAGAAGTCCGCAATCTGTGTGTAGCTTTTCTTACTAAACGATGCTTTCTTCATGGATTCCCTGCATCATCAGAGCAGGTGGGTTCTGTTCCAATGTCACCAGCTCTGACCCTTGTTAGCCTTTTCACTTTAGCTGAATTAAATGGCAATACGAGGCCTTTTGACTTCTCTACCCGAGTCCCGGCAAAGACGATCCTCCTTGTATTTTATCATCCAGGGTGGAGGTGCTGGCTATGGTGGTCAGCTCTCTGTCACTGTGACAAATACTGAGGTAAATCAGCTTTAAGAGAAGAGAAACTCATTTGGGTGTGGATCCCTTGGCTCTTGTTTCTGGGCAGAGCGCCAAGGAAGGGGCCTGGGGAGCAGACAGCTAGCAGGGGGCAGGACTCAGACCTCCCAGTAGCACCGCAGGAGGAGGCGGCTTTGGGAGAGGTTTGAAACCCAGTCTGGAAGTCACTTGACATTTTTCTCTGTGAATGTGAGTGGCAGTGAATGAACATTTCGCCCCACCAGGGAGGAGACCACACTGGAGGAGGAATAGGGGCTGATTCGGTGGGGCTCATGTAAGTGTTGGGGTTTTCCGCTAGCAATGAGGTTGGGAAGTCTGAATTCTGTTTTGTTTTGTTTCCGGAACTGAGGATCAAGGCTAAGGGCTCTCTGCCACTGAACTACATTGCCAACCCCACTTATCCCAGGCTAGGATCAGCTGGAATTTTCTACCCCCCTGCCTCAGCCTCCTAAGTAGCTGGAATTACACAGGAGTGCGCCACTGTGCTCGGCTCCAAACCTGCATCTTCAGTGATTAGGCATTACATGGATGGTGCAGCCCTTCAAGAGACTGGTGTGTTGTTGGAGGAGGTCTGCCTCTGTGGCTGATAAGGAGAACGGATGGTCCTTAATTTCCTCCTTACTGGCCCAAGGTTTGCACTCCCAGCAAGTGCAGCCCTCAGATTGTTTGGACAGTAATGTTGCCATGTGTCTGCTTTTGCTCCCAGCTTCAATGCCAGGTCACTCTTGAGAGATCGAGGGGTAGCAACATCGCTGCAGAGGGGGGACCCTAGAGATGTCCCCCAGCACCCTGGCAGCCCACACTTAGAAACTGTCCTGTTCCGGGGCCTGGTTGCTTTGTAACAACAGGACACTTTAGAATGCCTGGCCAGCCATACCATGGGAACAGGAAATCCGTGCTGTTTTGATTTGAAACCACTGGAACTTTAAGATGAGCAGAAGCATTGCTCTTACCCTCCCCAGAGTCCCCCATAGACATCTCAGCCATGGGCGTGAACTCACCCTACCAGCTGATCTACCAGTCTTCCACGGCCTGCCTGAGCTTCTCCCTGTCCACGGGGAAGGAAACCAAGAAGAAAACAGGTGACTGGGTCCCCAGCGGCCCTTCCGACCCTCAGCAGGAAGTGGAGCGGGGGCTGGGAGGGACAGAGATCCTCATGGTGCCCACATCTGGGCTCTGGTAGCAAGGCTGTGCAGCTGCCCTAGGAGGACACCAGCCAAGGCCAACAGAGCCCTGTCCCCCTACATACTGGTCCCCTGAAGGTGTCCCGTTTCCGAGCCCCTCTGACCATTGCCCGCCCTATGCACAAGGCACTAGGCTCAGGGCTCCAGAGCCAAACAGCAGGGTGCTGGAGTTTGTCCGGAGCCGTTTGGGCCTCACACTATATCCAGCTGCTTGCAGAGCAGGGTGAAGATGCGGGGACTCCCTGGCCTCCTGGAGGGAGGGAGGGAGAGAGGGAAGGAGGGAGGGAGAGAGGGAGGGATGGGTGGTGGGTGAGTGTGGACAGACAGCAGCCTCGGCCTCATGGGGCAGTGGTGACCCGGTGAGCCCTGCTGGTGCCCACGACACAGATATGGGAGCCGGGAGTGTGGGATTACTCTGCCATCCGTGGTTGTGTGACTGCCCCCTTTGGCATATCCCCTTCTGGAAAAGGTGGTTGGTCCCAGACGTCCCCAGATCTGAGCCCACTCTTGTTGTCCCTGCCACTCCCTGTGGTCTCCTTACTCTGCCTGTCAGCCCTGACGTCCCCTTCACCACCACTGGAAAGAGCGGCCACCCAAGGACGCCACCCCCAGGGCACAGATGACCTCCCCAGGGATCTGCCGGGCCCTTTCCTGCCCCTAGGTGACCTAGATGGGGAACCCATTTTCCGGAAACTCCTGTAACCTCTCGCCTCCAACTGCAGGTAAATCGAAGATGCTGGAAGACATGTTCAGCGCGTCGCCCTCCCAGCGCGCAGTGGGTACCTCCCCCGACACCACCACGGAGTTCAGCGATCCCTGCCCTGAGGCCCGTGAGAAGCTGCAGGAAATGTGTCGCCACATGTGAGCACGGGTGGGTGGGGAGTGTGCAAGGTGCAGCAGGCACTCCTGGGGAGCCTGTGTGCCTGCAGGACAGCTCAGACGAGCTGGGCCATGCCGGGCACATGGACCCGCACCTGGCAGCCCCAGGCCCTTCCTGTCTGCAGAGGGGGCACAGGGCAGCCTGGGCAGTAAGGAGCTGCACCCTGGCCCGGCTGCTCTCGGCCCTGTGGCAGCCGCCTGGCTTGGGCACCTTGGTGTGACACCTGCGAGTCATGGCCGGCCTAGCGTTTGTTCCTTAGCATGATCTGCCAGCTGTCCTCCCACCAAAAGAAAAAGTGTACTGCTCAGAACAGATAAAGAGCACTGCCCGGGGTGACTCGCAGTATTGACTATTTGTGGGTGCACAAGGCCTCCCCGGGGACTCAGCGTTTCCCCGAGGCGCAGGCCACAGAGACTGTACAAACCAATTTGCATCTCATGCCCAAGTCTCGTGGCCACCGGGGCGCAGGAGCAGCCTCCCTTACTGCCCAGGCTGCCCTGTGCCCCCCTGCAGACAGGAAGGGCCTGGGGCTGCCAGGTGCAGGTCCATGTGCCCAGCATGGCCCAGCTCTTCTGAGCTGTCCTGCAGGCACACAGGAGCAGCCTCCACCTCGGTTTGGGGACATCCCAGAAGGACTCTTGTCCCAGAGCCCCAGCCCCTCGTGCCAGGCCTGTAGTCCTTGTCAGGCCAGGGCTGGGCTGGGCACTGCGGCTTTCCCAGTCCCTCCTTGGTGCAGCTGGGGAGGACAAGGGAGGTCGGCAAGGACGCGCACGGGGGACGAGGACAGGCGTAAGAGGGCACGCTGTTTCCTTCCCTGCAGAGAAGCAGAGAAGGCCCTGTGGAAAGGGCGGAACATCTTCTACCCCATGATCCTGCGCAACTACAAAACAAAGATCCCCTCTCAGCCGGCGTCGGCTGCCAAAGGGGACTCGCAGGGCTTGGGTGTCCATGCAAGTACCCACACCATGGCACCGACATCTGCACCCAACACTCACCAGCTCTCGGTCCAGCAGAGCCGGCACTCACAGGACTGGAAGGTGCCCAAGAAGGCCTCCAAGCTGCACTACTCCTTCCACGACGGCTCCTCCTTCGTGTAATATCCTTTCTCAGCCACCTTTATGCCTGGGGCCACCTGGCTTCTTGCCCGTCAGAAAGGCCTTCGGGGGCCTCCGTTGGGGGTTGTGTGGCCTGGGTGCAGGGGCAGCAGATGAAGCCCGAAATTCAGTTCAGGTCAGGGGAAATATGCCACCCCAAGCCCAGGGGGGGCCTGTTGGGGTCGCCACCCTGCTTTCAGGAGCCAAGGGGACCAGGGTCTAGAGACCTTCCCCTGTGGCTGGGAGCCAGCAGCTTCTGTGACTCTGTCCCTGTGGCCCCTGCCCGGTTGGTCTGTGCTAAGGTCTGTAGGGCCCAACCTGTAGGTGTACACGGGCAGAAGGAGACACAGCTTCTCTCTGAGAAAGGACAGCTCTGCCTGGAGGGGCACCCTGGGGCCACTGCCCTCTCCTTTCCGGGCTGCGCCTGCCTGCTCCCTAAGGGCACCTGTGGTTCCAGAGTAAGGGCAACAGTGGGGAGTGGGCACCTCGGGCAGACGAGGGGCTCTGACGGGGCCAGTGTCCATGCTAGGCTGTGATGTCAACTATGGGGCTCCCTCAAGCCATCATTTCTAGGCTTCTCTGTGAAATGGGGACCCAGAACCCCCAGGGTGGTGCAGATTCTTGAGTGTTACATAGGAATTTGGGGGCAATGCTTCCAGTGAGAGCATGAAGCAGAGAAAAGGCAGGTGCAGCCTCACTGGGTTTGGGGGTCACCTGCGTTGGGAGAACAGGGACCAAGCAGGTCTGTCCCAGCCACTTCCATGCAGCCTGGGCCCCCTCACACTGAACAGGGAGCTCAGAATTTAAGCACGCTGTCAAAGAGGACTCACTGTTTCTCTGTAATGAATCTGTTCATTATTCTCGCTCTCTAGGGCCACAGCAGACACACTGGTGGGTGCTGCGCGGGTGAGGGGGATGCCCCTTCCCACTTCTGCACTGACTTTAGTGGGGTCACCTCTCTGAGCTCCTCACCAGGCTTTGTCTGCCCACATAGGAGGAGCTGGGCTGGACCCTTTGCTCTCCCTTTTCCTGACTTCTAAGGTCCCCAGGGCAGGACCACCCAAGTCTTAGACCATTGCTGCCCCAACAATGATCATCTCAAGCACTGATGTTTTTCCTCTTCGGAGGTCAAGACAGGCTGGGCCTCAGAATTCCACTCTTGGTGACACCACTTGTCTCAGTGGGGCCCAGTAACCATCTAGGGGAAACTCTGTGCCTCTCTGCTCAAATGGCCAACTGTGGGGTCTGCTGTGCCATCCCTCTGAGAATGCAAAATAAGTTTGGAAAACCCCACCTGATGGCATCTGTGGTGCACATCTGTTTACAGAGTTGACTGGGCAAGCGTGCAGAAATGATCTACTCTCCTTAGAGTGCACCCGCCACCCTCAGACCTTGGGGCCACCCACGGCCATCAGTGAGGAATCCCGCGGTCGTTTTGCCTCGTGTCCACCCGCTGATCAGTGATGCCGAGGACCTTTCGTGGGCTTTTCTTTGTTGATCTTTGCAGAAATGTGTGTTCGAGACCTGGGCTCACGTTTAGTGGAGTCTGTCCTTTTTTACTAATCATAAGTGTTCTTCAGGTATTGTGGATGCTATGCCCTTGGCAGATATGCAATCTAAAATGTTTCTCCATTTTGTGCATTGTCTTTTCACTCTCTTGACAACATTCTTTGGTCTACAAAAGTTCTTTCCAAATAATTAACTTATTTTTGGTGTTGAGTATCAAACCCTGGGTCTCACACATGCAGAAGCACAAACTCTTCAACTGACCTATGCTCCCAGCTACCAAAGTTTTTGATTTTGATGAAATCCAAACTGCATTTTTGTTGCTGTTGCTTATGTTTTTGGCTTCAAATCTAAGAAACCATTGCCAAATCCAAGGTCATGAAGATTTACTCCTAAATTTTCTTCTAATGCTTTAGAGTTATACCTTTTACCTTAGGACCTCAGCTGTATTTTGAGTTAGTTTTTCCATGTGATGTGAGATATAGTTCAGTTTCCTGCTGTGGATGTGAATGGCCAGTTGATCCAATTTTTCCCCATTGAGTGGGCCTTTTGGTCAAAATAAGTAGACTGCAGAGGAGTCATATCCCATACTCCATTGTAATCTGTCGCTCTAGCCCAGGTCTGTCCTCAGGCCACCCCCCACTGTCTTTATTACTGAAGGCTTGTAGTGAGTTTTCATATCAGCAAGTGTGAGCCTCCCCAGTGTGCTGATCCTCCCCAAGACTATTTTGGTTATTTGGTGTCTCACGCAGTTCCATATGAATTTTAATGTCAGGTTTTCCATTTGTGCAGAAAGGGCCAGTGATCGTGCTAGGAATCCCACTGATCCCACGGATCACTTTGGCCATTAACAGGATTATGTTATTTGACCTTGAACACAACCAGCCTGCACTGGGAAACATTGTGTGAGCAACGGGGCGGGGACGGATGGGAGGAAAGGATGCCAGGTATGATAGCGTAAAGGAGAATGAATTACTTAGGAATGAAGCCTAAGGGGGTACGAGACTTGCACACCGAAAACTATGAACTATCACTGAAGGAGGCGAGGCCTGCACAAGAGGCAGGCACCCAGTCCACACGGCAACCAACTTTTATATGTTGGTCTTGGGTCCTATGAATTCACTAATTCATCAGCTATAGGCTTTTTGGGTGCATTCTGTAGGATTTTCTATGAATTAGACTAGGTCATCTGCAAACAGAAATATTTTGACTTTTTTCCCCAATTGGAGGCTTTTCATTTTTTTTGTTGCCCAGTCAGGCTGTGGCCAGAATTTCTAGTACAACGTTGAAAAACATGGCAGGAGCAGGCCTCCTTACGTGTTCTTAATCTGAGAGGAAATTTTTTCAGTCTTTAGCCACTGAATATGATGTTGGTTGCATTTTATATTTGGCCTTTATTATCCTGTAGCAGTCTCTTCCTATGCTGAATTTATTGAGCTTTTCTTTTTTACCACAAAAGAGAGCTGGACTTTGTCACAGTGCTTGTTGTTGATCAACTCAGATAATCATGTGTTCCTCTCTACTCCGTTGCTGTGGTGCATTGTGTTGAGTGGTTTTGTGGATGAATTGCCTGCATCCCTGGGTAAGCCCTGCTAGGTCATCGTGCATAGTCCTTTAATATGCTGTTGAAGATGTGTGTGTGTGTGTGTGTGTGTGTGTGTGTGTGTGTTTGCAAGGAACACTGGTCTGAAGTTCTGTTATGTCTGCGCTGGGCTTGGTGTCAGGATAACACTGGTGTTCAGTGTTCAGGTCTTCTCCTCTAAGTTTGGATGTTGGTGAGGAGGATCGGGGTTAATTCTTTTTTACATGCTTGGTACAGCTCACCAGTGAAGCCAGCTGGTCCCGGGCTCATCTTTATCAGGTTTTTGTTTGTTTGTTTTTCTCTCTTTACTTGCTGTAAATCTACTCCGATTTTTCTGTTCCTTTTGAGTCATATTTGGTAGTCCTTGTGTGTCTAGGAATTTGTTTCCTCTAAGTCATCTAACTTTTTGGTATAGAATTATGCATGTTTTTATCCTTACAATCTTCTGTATTCCTGTGCAGTTGCTAGCACTGCCCCACCACTGTTTTTGATCTTAGGAATCTGAGTCCCCTTTTGCTTGTTCAGTCTTGTGAGTTTTATTGATGCAGCCTAAGAACCAACTTTCAGCTTCATTCTGTTTTTCTGTTCTTGTTGTCTTTCTCCGTTCTAGTCTTCCCTATTTCCCTCCTCCTAGCTTTGCTATAACAGAAGATGCCCCCTCCCCCAGCCAGTATACTTCAGTTTCTTAGTTGCTCAGGTAATAGTTCTGGTTACAGTTCCTGTCACTTTTGTTTCTTAGACGTGGCTGGTTACTGTGATACATAGCTGGTCATTATGATTCATATTGTAAGAACTAATCCCTAGTTGACAAGACATTCTACCTCTATACTTCCTGCTTGCTTATCCCATATAAACCTTAGCCACCGGAGATAAGGGCCTGATATTCTGGGAATGATCCTGATCAGAGCCCGTCAACATTAATAAATCTGCTTCCAAATCCTGGGTGTCATTTCGGTGTTTCTGTTTGCTGTAGCATCTGATGCATCAGCCAGGAAGACTGACCATACTGACTTCTTTGGTCTTGGCCCTCTCAGACAGAGCAAAGACCTCTTCAGATCCCGATGGGAAGGTACACCCTCGAAATTTCTCAAGTCCCCTTGGAGGTCTGGAGAAGGGTTCCTGGATCCCTGCTTGAGTGGCTCACATTGGACTCCAAAAAGAGGACGATGCAGTCTGTCTGTTTTTCTGTCTGCCTGCCTGCCTGCCTGATCCCAGTAAGACCCCCAGGGGCACTCCAATTAGTCTGTCTGTCAGTCCTGCACAGCTTGAGCAGAAGGGAAGTCTGATCAACTCTCATTAATCGGAACGACCCTCAAGGGAAAGGGGGCTGGAGTGTTTAACCTCAGAGTGCCTGCAGAATGATTGTGTGAGTGAGCAGAACGGACAGGGTAAGCAACAGGCTGCTCCACCTGTGCACCAAGACTGGAGCGCACTGGTCGTGGTGGCTGACTGGGCCCTCACCTGCGGTTCTGTGGCAGTTGACATATGGCATAAGAGAGGCCTCACACTCTCCTTCACTAAATTGCACTTAAGTCCCCATAAGAGACACAGCCAGGTGGGCATCTGAATGATCTCTCTCTAAAGGGCACCCACCCTTTGTCTGTTGTGCCATCATTCAAGGGTACACAACACATGCAGAAGAAGTCAGAGATGGGAATTAATTAGTCAAAACCCACAATCCCTAACTGAAGGAAAAAGGGCTTTTACAGTTACAAATGAAACCAAACCACTCCCTGCATCTCAAAAAAAAAGAAAAAAGAAAAAAAGAAGCCAATTCTTCCTGAGAATTCTCCCTTTCTACCCTCATTGGCTGCTGTAGTTACTGCCAACATCTATAGCTTCATTCTCCACTCCCAACTGGCTGCAGCTAGCCATTGCCTGCACTCAGCCACAGAGGCCTTCCCTCCAGAGCCT